CTCAAGAACGAGACATTCGGAGTGTTAGATGACCTCATTCAACTTAATTACTCCCCTTATTTGACTGTGTGATTTCATACATCAACAAGAAAAGAAGGATTTCATTAATGCTTCATTTACCCAAAAAAAAAAAATTTATCATGCTTTTAGTGAGACCCTAGCAAGAGTGTAACCTCACCCTAAGAAAAGCAATCAAATCATTATGACCGTTGTTAGGGAACAAAACATTTAATGAAAAGCGATATTGGTTATACTACACCTCAAAGGCATCATTCAGCTCCTCACCTAAGATTTTGATCTTTTCAGATCTATAATCAATAGAAAAGTTTTCTTCAATGATAAGTACTATTCATAAATATGTCTAAAGTGTAAAAAAGAAAAAGCAATGTCAATAATCAGAGTTAGCTCCTCTCATCTGCCCAAATTGAAAGAATTTTTAATATATTGACTTTGTGAATTTGTTTTTCAGCCCTTGAAATTGAAATATACTGTTAAGGATTTTGGTAGTTAGACCCTCTACTCGGACACCTCATATTTTTCGTCATAATTTAAAAATTACAAGAAAAGGTCACATTGCCCCCCCCCCCCCCCCCCACCAACACACACACACACACGAAAAAGAACATGGGGGTATCGGGTAAATGTTTGTAAAGTTGAAAGTTTGCAAGATTTGCGTTTGGAGACTTGGGTTTCTTCCCTAGCACTTGCATTTGGTCGCAGGTATAGGCGAAGACAAGGGGAGGTTGGTTTGTAGTGTTGAAGTTGTTTTCGTTTTTTTCCCTGTTCTTTTTGCCAAAAACCTCTTACACGGTTAGAGAGCTTTTTCTCTTCCTTCTCGATAGCTTGCTGTTTAATCTTTTTATTAACTAGTTTTTACACACGTGCAATGCACGTGATTTAATACCATGATTAAGTATTTTTGGCAGTTTGTGCTCATTTTTTTCTTTAAACTCTTACATCCCGATTATTTTTTTATGTTTGTTTAAATGAGATACAAATGGGATACACCCAATTTAAATTTTTATGTTGATATTTTAATTGACAAAAAACAAATATAATTTAAAAATAATTTGAATATTCATATTATTTTTGACAGATATGAAACTAAGCTTTATTTGAGAAAGTATAGCATTGCAAAGTGAAAAATATTAAAATAGTGTTATAGCTTTATTTGAGAAAGTATAGCATTGCAAAGTGAAAAATATTAAAATAGTGTTATACAATGAAGGTGAATGTTTAAAACCAATATGACAAAATGATTGATTTAAAGTATGTTAAAACGATGCAAAAGATAATATGAAGTTTATTCCTAATCATTGATAGACTTCATAAAAAAATATAAATTAAAGATTAATGCTGACTCTAGTATACTTTTATATGATAAAAACATCCACATAAGAATGTAAAAGTACTGAAAAAAATTCATGAAACTCCCTTCTAAAGATTCCTAATTTCACTCAAAATAATTAAACTATTCTATAACATATTCATAAAATATTTTTTTTATTTCTTCTATTTTATTTTTTATTGAGTTAAGATCAATCCTTCTTCAGGTTTATCATTTATCATTTCTCGGACAATTCTAGAGTATTGTCTTCATCATCTACATCAATTGTGACATCAGGCTAATTTTGTATTTTTTATGCTATTATCTTTCCTGGGCTCGTTAATTTTTTATCATCTCATTTAACTTTACAAAGAAGTCAAATGTACTTATGATGTTCAACACAAACTGCTCAAAATATAGACTTTGATTTTTTTTTCTATTTCAATGAGAATAAATATTAATTTCATATATATAAAATTCTTTGTGTTCCTAATTTATTACTTAAATAAATTAGAAGCTATCTCTTTATTTTCCTCTAAAATGAATTCTTCTGATGTGCATCCAATAAGAATTTCTGTTATTTCAATAATATTACCTTTGCCTTATCCCTGTCATTTTCCATAAAGATCTAAACTAAATACCTGCATTATTCATTACCAATTTCTCTTAGATTATAATATTAATATTTAATTTGAAGAACACAGTATGGAATTTATGAATACTTACTAATTTTTCTTATGTCTTCCATGGAGATTTTTTCTTTGATTAGGATAAAGTTATTAAATTATTTTTTAATGTAATTCATTCAGTGCTTCATTAATAGATATGTCTTATGTTAATGCCAATTCAAGTGATTCATTGACGTTTTCTGAATTTTAGATTTATTTCCATCACTTTCCCATTTGCAATGGAAATAACTCAATTCTTTTAAAGTTATCTCTAAATATTCTAATAGTTTCTCCATATGTAATTCCTTGTATTCTTTTACCCTATAAATATTATTAACGTCAAAGATTAAAGTTTCTAAATTAAAATCAATTAATGCTAAGGTATAATATTATAGTGTTTTATCATTTCTATGGATTTAAACATCTATCAATTAATGTTACGAATGTATTTTGGCTACCCCAACTTATTACTAAAATTATATGAAATTACTTTAATTTATATAGTGCCGATAATTTTTAATCTATAATATTTTTAAAAATTTTATCCATTAACCGGATGTTTTTAATCAATTCTTATTGTTTTTGTTTACCAGTATCAACTTAGACTATTCTTAGATGCTGAAAATGGATAGTAAATCCCTAAATTACAAATTTTAATATATATATATATATATATATATATATATATATATATATATATATATATATATATATATATATATATATATATATATATATATATATATATATATATATATATATATATATATATATATATATATATATATATATATATATAT